TCGTATGTTTGCGTGACTCTTCAGTAACTTTACACACACACACACCTGCCATCTTCATATAATTTTTACACACGTGCTGTGCAAAGTCCCAATTGATGATTTCCAAAACAAGAATCCACAAATGGTCTTTGGAACAATAATTGATCAGTTGATGGGACAGCAACGATTTTAATGACTGTACTCCTGGCTGAATTTCCTCAATCGGTCAGGCTGGAAAACCTTTTGCGAATCGTGAAAAACAAATCGCAGCAAGAACACTGCAAATGAAAATCCGTTCTGTCGATCTATGAAATTCAGTGAGTTAGTATTGCTAATAAACAATTATGGAAATCGACATTTGTCCTGTACTTGATGGGTTATTTGAGCTAGAATCGAAAGAGGGTTCTTGGCAACAATTAAAATTTCCGATCGAAAATCTATAGGTGTATGGCCAGCTCCCTGCTACTGGTGGTTATCCTCTTCTTCACTCGGCATTGCTTTATCTTTGTCGTACTTTTATTTTTGCTCATTGTAGTCATCTGATGAGGTGTGTGTGTGTGTGTGTGTGTGTGCGCTACATTTGGTCTTATTCTTAGAAAAATTCAGATCGGGAAAGGTAGAGAGCTATTTCGTCAGGATCTTTATTATCCTTGTGGCTTTAGTATCACAAAGCCTATGTTTTATGCCATACGTGGAGTATCCAGTATAAAATCAGATAATTTATTCCAGTAAACATGCTAAATATATAGCCGATTCATTTAGCTTCTGAAACTGGGTAAAAAAAGCCAGTGTAAGGTCCAAGCCTATGTGCTACTGCTGAACCAATCATGAGACTCAAAGTGCTGTTCTATGGGTGAAGGGGAAATTAGGTGCATGCTCATCCATAACATGGAAGTACTTTGGTGTTTCTGATGCCAATTAAGTGCATGCTGCTGAGGGGGGAGCTAAATGACCCTTTTACTTTGCCCTGCATGGGAAAGGAAAGGTTCATCATATCTATCCCCAGGTATCACTGAAAGTACTTGCAGTACCTTGCTAGAAAAAGATTTTTGTAGGTCATCTTTTGGGGTTTTCCATTCAAAGAAAAGAGCGATTTACACCTACAGTCGTATGCAGAAGAAAGTACACCCCCTTTGAACGTTTTATGTATTGGGACGTAATAAAAAATTATCTGGTCCATAGCAGGTATTATAATTAGGTAAATACAACCTCAGATGAACAACCCAAGACCTATTACACGGTGTCATTATTTATGTGGTTCAGATGCAAATTTGCAAACCTAAGCCTTGCCGCCATGTTCTTTATAGATAGAAGAGGCTTCCTCCTGGCAACCCTTCCAAACAAACAATACTTCTTCAGTCTTTTTCTAATTGTACTGTGATTAACTTTAACATTTTAACATGCTAGCTGAGGTCTGTAGAGTCTGAGATGTAACTGTTGTGTGATAATTTTTTTTTTTTTTTATTTGCAATTTCTCTGAGCATTGCACAGTCTGACCAAGGGCAGAATTTTCTGAGACTTCTACTCCGGGGAAGATTGGCAACTGTTTTAGAATATTTTCCAATAAATAGCCATATAACCCTTCCCTGATTGATGGGCAGCAACAAGTGGTTCTCTAAGATCATTGCTGATGTTTTGCCTCCTTGGCATTATGTTAACATGCACCTGAATGCTCCAGGCCAGCAAACTGCTAAAACTTCACCTTTTTAGAGAGGTGGCCACACTTGCTGATGATCAGTTCATCAAGGGCATTTGATGAGCAGCACCTTACTACTACTCTAGCCTCTTAATTCCTATGGAAGCATTAAAGGTGTACTTAGTTTTTCACACACAACTTCTCCATTATGGCTTTGTTTATAAAATAAATAATGACACGTGAAATATTAGATGTTCATCTGCGGTTGTATTAACACAATTTTAACCCTGCTTATGTTTTCCATAATTGGAAAATCATAAATGCAAGCAATTTAACGAACTACCATGCTTCCCCAAAAATAAGACACTGTCGTATATTTTTTTGGGTTCAAAAAAACCATACTAGGTCTTATTTTCAGGGTAGGTTTTTTTTTTTAAAAGATTATATTTATTTGAAAATGTTTGAGTTTTCACTAAAAGAAACAATACAAAAGTACACAAAAGACATGGAGCATACAAACCAAGGACAAAAGGGCCAACGCCATATCCTTCTCAAGGCACTATATGGGTGCAATATTCAGGTAGCATGACAGCACATGATCCATCAGTAGTACAAAAATGTAACCAGACTCTCCAAGTAGCGTAAAATTTGGCATCCCGGTGGTACAGAGCTGCAAAATGCTCATCCATCCAGCATACAGAATTCAATTCTATCACCCATTCACGGGGAGTAGGTAGAGTACTCGACTTCCAGTGCCTCGGAATGACCGCCCTCGCCGCTATCGGGAAGAATCTCAGTAGACCCTTCTTAGGTGATGAAATTGAACCCGGGGACCTGTCCACCTTGGTGTGAAGGAACTGGTCATACGTATAAAAATAACATTCCAGAATGGGGTCAACAGTGGGCAGGACCACCAAATATGCAACATCGTCCCGGGGTGGGATTTTTAAATATTTTTTGTCAATGTACAACAATCCACACTTATTCATGTACACCAGTCTACATGTATTCATGTACGAAATTATAACCTACATTTATTCAAATACAGTCATGTTGTCTTCTGGAACATCATCATAACTCTCCAAATCCTGAATTCTGGCCTGATGCCGTACCTTTCCAAGAGCAATTTGGTAACCAATCGCTGTCCAGAATGAGCAAAGCTTGCTTTCACTATCGATTCCTCACAGGCGGAGTGCATTTGGTATCACTTCGCCTGTGACAGGAGCCGGCGCTACAGAGGAAGCATCGGCTTATGCGGCTCTGCTCCCTCTGCTGCCGTTTCGCTTTCTCTAGCGCTGGCTTTGTTGGCAACACTGATTCTCTCCCGCCTCTCAAGCGGCTCTTCAAGTTCCCCCTTATGCCACCACCTGCCCCGGGAATGGTCACAACTAGGTCTTATTTCCGGGGTAGGTCTTATATTTTAGCAAAATAGTACTAGGTCTTATTTTCAGGGAAACGCGGTATATGTATACAGTCATGTACAAAAAGAAAGTACACCCTCTTTGCATTCTATGCTTCTACGTATAAGTACATAATAAAAATCATTGTATTAAAGTCCAAGGCTTTGATAAAGCCTTCTGAAAGGTCTTTTATAAAAGCTTGCTGTACACTCTGCTCTGATGCAAGCTGAAGCCCATGTAAACAAGGCCTAATAATCATGTTTTCTAAGCACATTTCCCACATGTATCACCATTCTTTGTCAGGATCAATTTCTGTGTTCAGTACCCGTTTGACACTCACTGTACTTTCAGGGGTCTATTTAAAAAAACTATTTGCTGGGCCCTTTCCCCTTCAAATATCTGAATATTCCGTTTGGGGGGAATAGTGGCAAAATCGCCTCCCTACACCCAAACGAGCAGTTAACCCTTCCAGTGTGGGGGTAACCCCACTGCAAGGGTTAATAATTTTCCCTGGAGTTCTGCTTTAATTTTATTTCTTATGCTTCTCTGCTCCATCTTGTGGCCATAATACAGTATTACATCACAATACATTCAACCTGAAAAGAGAATATATTACAAACGTTCATTTTTGCCATTACTTGCAGAAAACAGATGTTCAGATATTCACAGGAATATCCCTTCAAATTTTTCATAACTAAACCCCTCAGTGTTGAGGTAAAATACACTAAATGAACTGGGGTATGAGGAGTTAGATAAATTGCATTAGGGTTTTCCAAAGTTGAATTGGTCATCTGAAAACGTATAGCGGAGTCCATTCTTTTGTGTCAATAATTTTGAGCAATAAAAAAATATTTTTGTATATTCGTATTGTGCAGTATAATAGATATGATGGCATAATACGGTTTTGTTGTTTTTGCACAGTCAACAAGTGGCGTCCTGCTTAATCTAATGTAAAGCATACATGAATGAGAAAAATTGTCTACCCCTGGGGCTTTAGGCTTTCTTTTTTTTTTTTCCCCAACACTAAACATGAGTTCCACAGTACCATGTAAACTGATGTCCACATTGGATTTGCTTATCTGTAATCTGTTTCTTTAGAATTGAATTTGTGTAATATAAATAAGCCGCACTTAGTACAGTAATTGATGCATTTTGTCTGATCACAATGTGCATTCAGTCGCATACACAATAGGAAGACAGGACATGATCCTAAAAGGCCACATTTTCAGTCATCCATTTGTTTGCACAAGTCACTTCTGTCTATAGATAATAATCTAAAGATCTTGTGCTAATAATACGCGTGGCAGCCTCCTGGTTAACAAGCTTGTGAATTGGTTACAATGGCCTTTGCTGAAAGCATTTGCAAAAATTGCAGCATTGGGCTACTATGTTAGACACTGTCCTTGTTGTACAGATCATTTACATTTTGTGGCTTTTTGTAGCATGCCTAATCCTGATCTTAAAAGAAGGCTTTCACAAGGGAAGCTTGAAGGCAACCATTGGTGACCTCTCTGGAAATTGTTTTTTTGCTCGGCTGTCTGCCTCGCCCTCTGACTTCAGTCCTTCCTAGAGTCATTGACCTAGACCAAGTATGCAAATAAAAACTTTTGAATACTGTCTGATGTTCCTGATCTGCATACTTATTCCACTTGGGTGATGGCTCAGGAAATGGTCATAGATGCGAAGAGGGGTAAGGTTCCTTTTGGGTGCTTAGACTTTGGCCGCTAACTAACATGAAAAAATAAATGTGAGAGGTGTAATGTAATGGTAGAGCTATTGGGTAGCTGCAGATTTTGTGTGTTTAATTTACAAACAAGTGGCAAACTATAATGCAAACAATGGCGACCATAGTTTGGATAAAACTGCCTTATTGTCTTTTGCCTTGTTTGTTCTTATTTGTATGGTGATTTTTCATGATTTGTTTTTAGTTACTTTTACAGGTTAATTGGTCAACTGATGTTTTTTGTTTGTTTTTTTCCTTGCAGAGACGTGGGGCAATATCGTATGACAGCTCTGACCAAACTGCTTTGTACATTCGTATGCTAGGTAAGTGACATGGTGACAAGGGAAAAACAAATTTGGGCTTATTTGCAAAGGATAATGTTAACCATAAACTGTCTTGCTACTCACTATATGGACCATTTATATATGATTGATTACCATGTATAAATACATAAATGGTCCATTTAGTGAGCTTGGTGCAAAATGATTAACTTTAAAAGAAGTATTTGGAGAGAAAAATGTATTTTTCCAATACTTGGAGCCAGCGTGTGATACTGCGGTTGTCACATGCAAGCTCTTTCAATTGAGAACTGAGTGATCACCACAGATCGCTCAGTTAGCGGTCTTCTCCCTGCAGAGAGGGGTGACTTTCAGTCTCCGCTCCCTCAGGGATTCCCCCTCCCCTCTTTATATTTCTCCAGCGCTCACTGGAAGGACAGATAGGGGAGGGGGCGGGCACGGCTGGCTCTTACTCTAGATGCAGAGACAGCTGTCACTCAGGCAGCGGGCTGGATCCCGACCATATTATCTGGATCCTTTCTGGCTGCTGTGCGGCTTTGCGCTATCAGCATATAGCGGGCAGTAGCTTGCTATATGCTGAGTTTGGGTCACAGTAGGATATTGGTAAATATACTCTTGTGACCCAAAAGAAAACTATAGCCAAAAAAAGATTCGGCTTAAGTTCTCTTTTAGGGTTGCTGCAAAGGACAAGGGCGCACTTTGTGTCTGGATTGAAAAGTGGTTTAACCTTTTGCATACAGAAAGGCTTCTTCACAGCTAGTTCCTGTGGAAGACTTTCACATTTTCACAGTTCTAGCTAGCTCAGTTAACTGTTAAAAAAAACAAAACAATATATGGATGCATTCCTTAATGCTGAATATTCCTAGATATTAACATTTTATAGGTTAAACACCAGAGATTGTTGATCCTAGGGATATCCGATTTGTCTTATGGGATC